GCCATGAGATAGAGAGAGGCTACATCCGTCGATAGGATGAGCAAAATCGGAATGAATCTTCCGCTAGAATATGGAAATATACACTGCCACTTTCTCTTACCTTTTTTTTTGTGTGTGTGTGCGTACGTGTGTGTGTGTGTGTGTGAGAGAGAGAGAGAGAGAGACAAAACAAACGCGTCCGAAAACTAAAAACAATAAACAAAAATCAGTGCAACTCGGAAACCCCCACTGGATGGCCACTACAGGCTACTTTAAAGGATTCAAACGCCCGACCACTTTTCCAAAAGTAACAATAAAAGAAAGCAAAACTCGAAAAACAAAACGAAACGCTCGCCCGAAACAAAACAAACGCGTCAGGCGCGTCAGAATTTTACATCGGACGTCTCACGCTTCGCTACTTAGTCACTCGCGCGTCAGAATTTTTACATCGGACGACTCCACGGGAAAACACTAACGTGGACCATCGCAGACGCGAGAGTCGCATCCGCGGCCGAAAAGTTTACATCGGACGTCTCAGGCTTCGCGACGCGTGTCAGAATTTTTGCATCGGACATCTCCATGGGAAAACACTAACGTGGACCATCAGAGACGCGAGAGTCACGTCCGCGGACGAAAAGTTTTATGGGAGTCGTTAGATTGTTAGATATCCTGGCCAGGGTTGCATACCCGCCGACCGCCTACCCTGACCGCCGACTGTAGTGCAGCCGACCAGTAGGGCCGACCGGTCCGCAGTCTGCCAACCAGTCAGAAAACAGCCATCCACTTCTGTTTTTTCAAATCTGAGTTAGCGGATGTACTGCACTTGCAGAGTACAGCCCAAATCCGCTGCATGGGGGTATGGGGGGGTTGGGGGGGGATTATGGGGGGGGTATAGGGGGATATAGGGTTGGTACAGGGGGTATTGGGGGAACATGAAGGTGTTGGGGGTCGGTTTGGGGGTGTTGGGCGCGTGTATGCGGGTATTGGTGGCGGGTATGGGGGTGTTGGTGGGGTTATTAGGGGTTCTGGACCCAAAACACCAAAAAACAAAAAAGCAAAAAACAAAACTTGTGGGGTGCCGATGACCCTCGACCGGTAGGTGCGATCAGCCAACCTGTCGGTTGGTCGGTATCCGACCAGTCAAGGGCCGCTGACTGTCGGGGTATGCAACACTGATCCTAGCTCAATTTGTACACCAATGAACTGTTGAAATACGAACCTGAGTTCAAATCCAGATTAATGAAACAAAACAAAGGAAAAAAAAAAATGTGCGTCAGCAAACCTGGGCTAGATGGCCTGCCCAACTAACGTTTTCGAGCGCCGATGCCAACATCGGACAGTCGAAAACCTGCGATGAGAGCCAGGGCTTGGTGTGCGTACAGGCACCCGGGCCGATAAGTTTTAAGGCTTTTTGACATTTTGTAGATAGTACTAGATACTATTGTGGTACAGACAAAAACAGTGGAGTTTCACCCTTTTTTTTTTTCTTTTTTTTTTTCCTCCGTTCATAGCTGGAGTTTCACCCAACTTTACCGGTTCGCTTTACATTTCGGCCACACTTGGGAGGAAGAGTGATTTGCTACTTACTCGATTCCTTTACTTCTCTTAACTGCTTCGACCAGAGGAGACTGTACTGGGTCATTCTCCACGCAACGGCGCAAGTCATCACGGAGTTTCGCACCCGGGATCATCACTGTCGAATTATTAACGCCCCCTTTAAACGGCGATCCTGAGCCCCGCAGAAACACCGATGGAACCATTATCGGTTCATCTGGGAGCTGTGAAGGGTCTCGCAGATACGACCCAACCTTATGCCTGTTGACCCCGACCAGATGCTCTAACAAGAACCGTGCAAACAAGCAAGGAGGAAGGTCGATGCTCTCGCTTATTTGCAAAATGTCCTCACCAGACGCATACCTAGGCAGCAACCAGCATCACATAAGAACAGATGTAGAATGCACATTTCAGTGTCATGTCGAGCAATGTCTTGGACCAGACTTAGCTACTAGAATTCCAGCAAGTCCTTTTATGGTAAACAAGACGACGAATCCTACAGCGAATAACATAGGCGCCCTCAGTGTGCACCTCTCAGTCAACAAAGAAAGATTGTTAAGAGAGCAGCGCTCGTCTGTGATGCCAAAAAAATACGTGTGTCGCGCATTGCTCCTGCTGAAAGATAGAAGGGGGTAACAACACATACCCTCATGCCCCTGTACGAGGAGCAAGGCACACCTAAAAGTTTGTGGTCAGGGTAATGCAGTCCTACGACAGACGGTCGTGTGAACTGAGTCCCCTTGGATTCACAGACGCTGTGGTTAAAAGAACAAGCCAAAAAGAGTGCAAGAAAACAGAAAAGCAGAAAAAGAAGTTGAAAAACTTTTAAAAAGTGCATAGAACCCCAAGTCGCAACCTGTTAATGAGAAAAGCAACTTGACTGACCAGCCCTGGGAAAACTTAGCTGGCGTCAGGGATACACTTTACAGCGCTCCTGTTTTCTTTGTTACTTCTAAGTTTTAAGTTTTGACGGGACGATTACCATTAAAATTTAAAAATGGATAAGTTTGAAGTGACAATTTGACAAATGCAAAATGTGCACCAAAACAAAGACCCTCAAAATCTGTGCGAGGAAAAAACAAACAGTTCACAAAATAGTAAAATACACCAACTTCAGCGAATCGACCTGGGATATCGGGACGGAAGTACAGCAATCCTTGCAAACACCACCCAGAGTCGGTCCCAGTCCCAGACAACCAAGTCCACAAAACAGGCAGAGGTTCTTTCCAGGACCCCCATGGATTAGCTCGCAGGGAGCGGGGTTGAAAGCAGGATGACAATAACAGCTTTCTTAGGTAGGTGGGGAAACACGAGCTGCTGCATCCGATCAAGAATGTGTGAGCCATTTTCACAGTACATGTCCTTTGGCAGAGACACAGAGTTTCAGCTCCGGGGATGGATTAAGTACTGGGGGCGAAGCAATGTGCCTAAAGTTCTGGATTATCGATGCAGTCCAGATATTTAGCATCCTGTTCAGCAAGGAGATAAGCAGCATAGGGGACACTGCAAACTTGAGCATCGGGACAGCGTAGTAAAGTGACGCACTTACCTTCACGAGGCGAAGAGCAATCCAGATTTGGGAACCTGTTGGTTGGATTCGGTTTTACAGGGTCACAAGGGCACAGAAATCGTTTCAGAGCCTTCAGATACAAATACTTCTTGAAGGTTACAGGGGGTTGGGGGTCCTCTTTTTTTTTTTTTTTTTTTTTTTTTTTAACGGTAACTAACCCCTAGTAATAAACACTCCTTTGTTGGGGTGCAGCTCGCATTGACAGTTGTCACTTTCACACTAGCCTGTTTTCCTAACGGCTAAGTGTTCCGCTTTGTCTGTGGCATGTTCCCGGATCGATTCCAAGAAAAAAACAGTCATTTTGCTGGGAGGCTGGGAGATAAAAGACCCCCTTGGAAGCCATTTTGCCATTCTGACCATCCATACCTGCCACGCAGACAATCTTTCAAAAGAAGCCTGAATTTGGTTTCTCAATGCCAGGCACATTCCAGCTATTCCCAGCCAGACAGACATCTCACCAAGCCTTTTCCCACTAATTCAAGTTTCCAAAGACATGACGGAACGGGGAGGTCCAACTCGGCAGCCAGGTACAGACAGGATGGCCCCAGCCAGCCAATGTAGGAAACATAAGAATCAGCCCTATTACTGGCTGTATACCGAAGAAGTGCAACAAGGGGGGGGGGAAGGGGAGGGGATTTCTAAGGACTTAGAAAGTGAGCAACCAAGGAACTACTCAAAACTCGGAGATTTCAATGCACGCTTCCTGTCACAGTGCAAACAACTGAAACTGCATCTAAAGCCCTGCAGCTCAGACTATCCGCAGATTCACCTGCTTTATGGCTTTTGTATTGTCGTACTTGCATTCAACATACGTATGACCGACACTCTGCCTTTCCCTTTTTCACCTCAATACCCTTGTATCACAAGAATACGATTCTTTTTAGCCTGTCATCATTGTCATGCATGCTGCCCGGTACATGCATATTGTCCACAATGTCAATTATACAGTGTAGTATGCAACTATGGTGGAGTGCAGTTGGATCATCGTAAGTACCTTCACGGCTCAGGAATAGACTAGCAATTGGAGCATAGGATTTGTACAGTTTATAACTTTATAAGATATAGCTTTGTGTATTAGCACCGCAGAACCGATATGGGAAAAAAACAAAAGACAGCACATCACACAATAGGCAATGTAACAACAGCCATAGCAGAGCTAATGAAAAGACCCATTCCATAATCTATAAGAAGCATAGGGTGAGCACGAGCACAGAGGAGCAGGAGGGTTCTGGGAAAATGGTAGGCAGCAGGGGGGGAATGGCGAGAGGCAGGCTAGAGCAGGAGGTCCCGAGGGGGCAGGGCAGGAGTGCGTTCAGCAAGGATTGGAGAGACCAAGCAGCCAAGGAGGAAGGGCAGAGAAGGTGGAGCACGACATGCAGGTAAGAAGTAGGGGGAAGCAAGGGAAAGGGGGCAGCACTGTATCAATGCGACATGCGCAGTCGCAACAGGGAGCAACAGGCAAGGAGAGCGGGAAGTGTGGCAGCCAGTATTGACAGTAATTCCTCGGCACAGTGCGCAAGCAGTGCCCAAGGGTGAGCTAGGGCTTGCAAAGGGGGAAGGAAACGGGCTACAGGGCATGGCCAGAGGCCAGAAGACAGGGCATGGCCAGAGGCCAGAAGCCAGAGGCAGAATACACAGTAGTATATAGTACATACTACATAGTAGATACCATACATGCAAGCGCACGCCGTGCGGATTCCGCATATTCCGCGCACGACCGGACCCGCACGGTGCGGCGCACGGGGGAAATATTCACTCCGGGAAAAATAGGGGTCGCACACCTGGGTCAATCAATGGTCACCTGTGTCCCCTTTGAAGATTTGTTGTGGGAGGGGGGGGGGGGGGGGAACTAGTGGGAGAGTAACGCCGCTACCTAAGGGTCAAGGCTGATGTCCCAGACACCTATTTGAGGCTATTTCGCATGCCCAATTGGACGGAAAGAAAAATCTGTATGATTGTACAGTTTGTACTTGAAAAAGATCTGTTCCTTAGGTGGTGCACTCTTCTGTATCTACAAAAAGTTCAGAAACAGCAAAAAAAAAAAAAAAAAATCCTGCTGGTACGGCGCACGAGCAGGTGCCACGCCGCATGGTACGGTGCACGGTGCAGTTGCAAGTATCGTCGATAGTGGTCCCATAGTCAAGCGAAGATTTAGACCTTGTAAACCTTGTATTTGCCCAAACATCACAACGGGATGTTGAAGCAGTTTTGAGTTCAGAGAAAAAGCCAGCAATTGCAGAGTTCCCTTTACACCTCAAATCGAAGGAGGGCCTGTAGAGGCAACCTCCACGTACCCACCTGCCAATCCTCACCTCCTTTCAATGCACACCGTGCGCCAACAGGCATACGCATCCCACACTTTCCTTTTCCTCCTATCATGGTAGCCTGGTTACCATTGGAGAAGGGGAGTACGCTTCCGTCGTCACACGCAAACGGATCTTGTTCGGGTTGAGGGGGATGCATGCACGGTATAACAGAAAAGTAGAAACATACTCAGGGGATACTCGCATTTGGAGCCTTTCAATCTGAATGGACGGTATCCAGGAAAACACAGTGAGTGTGTCGTGTGATTAACACTAGCTGGTGCTTCGACGGGGATCAGTTCTTGTTCAATCTGTCTGTGGTTAGTCAGCTGAGTGGCACGTGTGGTCATACCCCTCATTCACTGTGATCCAGAGCATCAAGGGCTCATGTTCCCCTCCATTGTTGTGCTTTGCCCCGTCACTATCTTCTGCATTCAGTACGGATTAAACATCTATCACCATATTCGCATACACATATAGACAGAGAGTGAATCCAGCAGCATATTGTTCAGAAACAAGACAAAAACGTGAAGAGGAAACAGATGAGACGGGGAAGGAGGACATGAAGATTAAACACAAGAGGGGGAGACAAAGTGACATTGCAAAACACGTCAGACCGGGAAAAGTGTGACATAGAAAGTGAACAAATAACGCATCGAGTGTGTACACACCTGCGTATATACTCAGCGATTTTGTTTGGATTTTTGTGGCGGTGGTGATTCATTCGAATCTTCCGCGACCATTCCTGTGAAACTATGCTGCTCAGTGTGTCAAAGGAGACATCTGGAAATAGGTTTTGTGTATTCTCAAATGCCCTTTCATCTGGCCGCATAATGGAGTCACGGAGCATTTTATAAACACACATCTTCATCTCGAGCTGCTTTTGCAAATCGCCCAACCACCATCAGATGGTTATTTCAAATTGTTCACACAAGCAGGCCGAACTTGATCGACCTGCATTGCTACGAAGTCATCACCGCTAACATTCTCTCTGCTGAGACAACATGAGACAAGAGACAAAACCAAACACTCAGCCAGCCTTCCTCGGTCATCCCTTTCCATGTCTGCAAATTAGCAACTCTCTCTCTCTCTCTCTCTCTCTCTCTCTCTCTCTCTCTCTCTCTCTCTCTCTCTCTCTCTCTCTCTCTCTCTCTCTCTCTCTCACTATCTCTCTCTATCTATCTATGT